TGTGTTTATTATTCAATGTTATATGCCCCGGTTATGCACAGTATACATGTGATTGTATGGAATGAAATGGAAATAAATGTATTTTCTTAAAAGAAATGTTTTTGAAAACTTCTGTTCTTTGAGGGGTTATTAAGGGAAGATCATGCAACCTATTATGGGCTATCAAAGTGGAGAGGGACCCCCTGCGTCTTCCAACCCACGAAGAATCCTGATTGGATCTTTTTCTCCTTCTAGCAATTCCCATCCAACCTCCTGCAGCTGAGTTTCTCCTCTTCCTCCTTCACCTGAACCCCTCCTAAAAAAGTTATAGGTATTTTTTGTGACGTGCGCAGCCGTGCAGGCGCGCACCTTAGAGGGAACAGTGCTGACCCACCATATCTGTATGGATTTGTATGTGTACGCATATTGTGCCTTTCTGATCCAAATGAGAGAAGGTTGAATCCAACAAAGTGAAACTTAATGTGGAGAAGAGTAAGATTTTACACCAGGGCAGAAAAAACATTAAATGAAACCTGGCTCAAGAACAGTAATTGTGAGAGGGACCTTGGGAGTCCAAATGGATGACCACTTAAACATGAATCACGTGGTGGTGGTGGCAGCAGCCAAAATGCTAATATAATCCTTGATTGTATAAAGAGAGGAATAGAATCCAAATCACGTGAAGTATTAGTACCATTATTTTAAAGTCTTAGTAAAAACCACACCTGGAATACTCCATCCAGTTTTGGTGATCACGTTACAAAAAATGATTTTATCCTTTGGAGAAAGTGCAAAGAAGAGTGGCTAAGATGATTAAAGGCCTGAAGACCTTGCAGGATTTGGGCATGGGTAGTCTAAAGAAGGATTAGGAGTGACGTGATAGCAATATTCCAGTACTTGAGAGGCTTCCACAGAGAGAAGGGGGTCGATTTATTTTTAAAGCACCAGAGGGCAGGACAAGAAACAACGCATGTGAAAATAAGGAGAGAAGCAACCTCAAATTAACGAGAATCTTCCTTACAGTGAAGACAATTAACCAACGGAACAGCTTTCCTTCAGATATTGTGGTTGCTTCATCACTGACATTTTTAAGAAGAGACTGGATAGTTACTTGTCTGACATAGATCCTATAGGAATATCAATGATATAGGATATAGGAGAGTGATGACTAAACTTTTTGTTGGCATGTTCCGAAAGCGCCCCATATTGCAACGTATGCACGATCCACACCCTGCTCCTCCCATGTGTGTGACCCCCCTGCATACACCCACCACACGTGTGTGACCCCCATGTATACATGTGTGACACCCCCCCGCAGTCCCTCGCCCCCTGCATGCGCCCCCAATGTATGTGAGATTTATGCTCCCATCTGGAGTACATTTAAGCTCACACCTGCTTTAACTTACAAATAACAAATTGAATTTCTTCAGCATTATAAAATCCCCCCAAAGACACCCCACCCGAGGATTCTCCATAGCACAAGAGAGACATTGAGACCCCCAAAAGTGCTTCTCTCATCATTCAGTGGTCAGAGAGGGGAAGGGGGATAAGCTCTTCCTTCAGAGGGAATCAGACCCCTCCCCACCTCCTTCCCTGGGAACCTGGTACCTTCAGCTGGAAGGAGGCCAGCCAGTTGCAGGCACAGCCTGTTCGGGGATGGGGGTGTCTCCCTCTGCATTCTCCCCAATCCCCCGTCCCCAGCAAGGAATGTAGCATCTGAAGTAACCAACTTGGTCTTCTGTTCTGGGACCTTTTGTGCTTCTCATGTCACTCCTCCTTTTCTGCGATGGGCTTTTATCCCATGGAGATCGAGGTCCAGTGGCTGAAGAATGGGCGGCCAGAGAAGGAGGGCGTGGCCTTCAGGGAGGAGCTCCAGAACAGACTGGACTTATCAGCTCTAGGTGATACTGGAGACCCAGACCTAGTGGGGTGACTTCTAGGCTTGCATGTTGGAGCACACCAGCCTGGAGGCCCCCAACACCATCCTGTGGGGTAAGCCCTCCCCTCTTGTTCTGGGGACCCCACCCTGCCCTGAGAAGGGGGACAGCCAGAATGGACCCTCCTGGGAGAAGGTGGGCCTGATCCTCCTACTCATTTGAGGGTCCCCCAGAGCTCCATTCCTCCAGCTTTGCCGGGAGGAAACTCTGGACGGGGGCTGTGGGGGCCGTGATAGGAGTGGCCTTCCTGGCTGTGGGGCTCTTCTACCTGAAGAGCAAGAAAGGTGAAGCGGTTCATAATTATGCTTATATAGTTTCCCATTTGAGGCTAAGATATTGACCCCAAGATATTTGACTTTAACTACCTCACATCCTAGCATCTCTCCTAGTTCTGCCTTTTGTTTAGTATTCATATTTATAGCTAGTATTTTGGTTTTTCCTAAATTTATTTTAAAACCAGACACTTGACCATATTGATTAATCGTGTTCATTAGAACCATACTAGATTCCTGTGGTTGTTCCAATATTATAACCAAATCATCCGCAAAAGTGCAGAGTCTGTATTCTTGCTGCCTAATCTTGATCCCTTTTAGACCATCCAAGCCCCGTATTTTATTCAACAATACTTCCAAAGTTATAATAAACAATAGTGGGGACAAAGGACAGCCCTGTCTTGTACCTTTTCCGATTTGAAAGGAGTCTGTTAAACTTCCATTGACTAT